GGCACAGACCCGTGGCATGTAGTCGCGGCCATTGGAGTCAGTGTAGGAGGTGGCGTTGGTGCGAAGGGCAGTCTCAAAGCGAGTGATGTACTCCTTGCCCGCTCCCCCGAGCTCGTCCATCCCCACCTGCTCATGCCATCGCCCACCCACCCACCCACCCACCATAGCATCACATCCACCTCCCACCCACCACAGCACCATACACCCCCGTCCCACGACAGTACCATACACGGCAAAGCACATGGCAAGACAAGGCACAGCGGGCACAGGTGCAGACAAGTGCATACGGGGGGAACAGTCAGGAAGAGGCCACGAGGGCAAAGGCCGGCGAGAGGGTGATTGAGGGAGCAAAGCAGCAATGAGGCCATGCACGCTGATACTCATGAGGCCATGCACGCTGGTGTTCCCCGGGATGTACTGAGGTGGCTTCATGTATGCATATGCCGTACCAGGCAGCAGCAGCAGCAGCGGCGGCGGCACGTGCCAGCAAGACAGGGCGCAGGCAATCACTGCATGGTGGAGAGTGCTGCTATGGTGGACCGCGCGGCAGCACGTTCGAGAATTCTCAAGAACCTCTCGCATAAACCCTGCAAGAACCACAAAACCCGACAACCCTAAAGCCTACTGCTGGACCCCGCAGGAGCAGCGCGCGGCACCTGTACCGCACCTGTAGTGCACCTGTAGTGCACCTGTAGCGCACCTGTAGTGCACCTGTAGTGCACCTGTAGTGCACCTGTAGTGCACCTGTAGCGCACCTGTAGTGCACCTGTAGCGCACCTGTAGCGCACCTGTAGCGCACCTGTAGCGCACCTGTAGTGCACCTGTAGTGCACCTGTAGTGCACCTGTGCCTGCCATTCCACCCACCAAGTAGTGCAGCTCGACATAGTCTTTCCCCGGGTACACTCGGAACACCTGCGCCGCGGATGGGGGGGGAGGGGGAGGGCACAGCAAATGTGCACTGAGGCGTGAAGAAGCCATGGGAGGCGGGGGGGGTAAGGTATGCTGACAACAACAACGGGATGCAAAGCTGGCACCCTTCTTAGCTGGCGGTGGGGTAGGGAGCAAGGCATCTGCCATGCAGCCCATCGTCAGATTGTTTCTTTTAATTATAAAGCATCGGTCACCTGTGACGAAACTACTGCAGATACCGAGGATGGGGGGCAGGCAGTGTATGCCTGCACTGCAACAACGAACTGCGATAGAGGCGGGCAAAGCATGCGCAGCCTGGCAACCCATGCAGCAGCAGAGGCAGAACCAGCAGCAGCAGCAGCAGCGGCAGGAGCAGCGGCGGTGGTGGCAGCGGCACTAGCCGCAGCAGAAAGTAGTGAAGCACTACTATTTCCCCCAATACCCCACTATCTGAATCCCCTCCCCCCCTTCTTTCCCCCAACCTCTCACCCCCTGACCCCTCTCCCCCCAACCCCTCTCCCCCCTACCTCTCTCCTCCCGACCCGTCTCCCCCGACCTCTTTCCCCACGACCTCTCTCCCCTAACCTCTCTCCCCCCGACACCCCCTCCCTCGCCCCGACATCTCCCTCCCCCTCATTGCACGCCTCATGCACAGCACACCTCGCGAACGGATGCAGCCACGTGGCGGTGGAACTCATACACCAGCGGGCACCACCCGAATCGCAGAGGCAACTCAACCACACTCCCACTCTTCCTCACCCTCTCCTCTCCCCCCCCTCCCCCCCTCTCTACACACCTTGCGAACGGAAGGTGCCACCTGGCGGTGGAACTCATGCACCAGCGGCCCCTTCACCATGCGGATATATCAGGCACCTCACAACACCCTTCCACTCTTCCTCACCCTAAACACCCCCCCCCCCCCTCCTCCCCCTCCCTTACGCACCTCACGAACGGAAGGTGCCACCTGGCGGTGGAACTCATGCACCAGCGGCCCCTTCACCACGCGGATTGGCACCTACCAAGGCAAGGACATTGGTTGGGGGGGATGGGGAGAGGAAAGGGGAAGGGGAAAGGGGAAGGAAACGCATGGAGAGAGGAGTGTTGGAGGTGCGGGACAAGGGAAAACGAAGGGGGAGGATGGTAGCAGGCAGGGTGGGTCGGGCCATGGGGTCACGCAACAAGAATGGTGATCGCTTGCATGGAATGGGATGGGCTGTATATGTCGGTATGAAAGTAGGGTGACGACACCATTGCCATCCCCATCCCCATCACCATCGCCATCGCCATCGCCATCACCATCGCCATCGCCATCACCATCGCCATCACCATCACCATCACCATCACCATCGCCATCGCCATCGCCATCGGTCGCCATCGCCATCGCCATCGCCATCGCCATTGCCATCGCCATCGCCATCGCCACCCCCATCGCCATCGCCACCGCCATCGCCATCCCCATCGCCATCACCATCACCATCCCCATCCCCATCGCCATTGCCATCGCCATCGCCATCGCCATCACCATCATCATCACCATCGCCATCACCATCACCATCACCATCGCCATCACCATCACCATCACCATCACCATCGCCATCACCATCACCCACTTCGGTTTGGCTGTTGCTCGTGTCGACTCCCTCTGCTGACTTCATTGGGCGGAAGAGATAGGCACCACCCTGTGTGTGCGCATGCATATGCGCGCGCGCGTGTGTGTTGATGTGTGTGTGCGTGTGTGTGTGCATGCGTGTGCGTATGTGTGCGTGTGAGTGTGAGTGCGTGTGTTGTAAACGAGAGTGCACGGGGGGGGGGGAAGGGGGGACAGAATGGTATGGGACAACAATGAGCCCTTCTTATTGGCCCCAGCAGTGGCAACCTCTCCCACAACAGCCATAGAGGCTGCAATGCTGCAATGCTGTAATGCTGTAAGGCTGTAATGCTGTAATGCTGTAATGCTGCAATGCTGTAGTGCTGTAATGCTGTAAGGCTGTAATGCTGTAAGGCTGTCATGCTGTAAGGCTGTAATGCTGTATTGCTGTAATGCTGTAGTGATGTAAGGCCGTAGAGCTGTAATGCCGCAGACCCCTCACCTCCAATCACGCCCTTGAAACACAACCTCCCCTCACCCCACTCCCAACCCTCAAATGACAGGAGAACGGCATGCCATTGCTGCCTCTGGTGATGTGTTAGTCAATTAAACTACATGATCATTCCTGGGCCAGGCGGGCAGTGGGGGATTAGCACGCACCATGCCGTTGACATATGCCATGAGGTGGCTCGTCAGCTGCAGCTCCGCTTGCTGCGACGGTCGGGGCAATGCGAGAGGTGGGGTGGAGCAAGGGTGGAGGTGAGGAGGTGACCGTGGGAAGGCAGAGTCATAGTCGCTGGATGGCATGGCATAGCAGGACCTGGCATAGCAAGGCAAGGCAAGGCATGGCATGGCATGGTATTCTGCTACTGACAGTGCGAGCAGTGACAAGCGTAACTGGTGGAGACATGGGTGCACCACACCATGCATGCACCACACCATGCATGCTCGACACCATGCATGCACCACACCATGCATGCACCACACCATGCATGTTCGACACCATGCATGCACCACACCATGCATGCACCACACCATGCATGCTCGATACCATGCATGCACCACACCATGCATGTTCGACACCATGCATGCATCACACCATGCATGCACCACACCATGCACGCACCACACCATGCATGTTCGACACCATGCATGCACCACACCATGCATGTTCCACACCATGCATGCACCACACCATGCATGCTCGACACCATGCATGTTCCACACCATGCACGCACCACACCATGGATGCACCGCACCATGCATGCGCCACACCATGCAGGCACCACACAATGCATGCACCACACCATGCATGCACCACATCATGCACGCAGCATGCAGCACGGCACCCATCACGCCCTCCCATCCCACACAGGCCTCACCACGGCACTGGTCCCAGCAGCAGCATCGCCGCTCATCAGCTCCATCCTCGCCAAGCCATAGCTGCTGCGGGAGAAGCTCACTCGCGCCCATGCCTCCCCTCCTCCCACTCCCCCATCTGCCGCTACCCCCACACCACCAACACCACCAGCACCACCAGCACCACCAGGTGCAGCTGACGCTGAAGGGGATGCCTCTCCAAGGACGATGCTCTCGTGTGCATCGTCGCCGTTGCCGTCTGCTGCTGGGCTGCCATGGGACGGCACCTGCTCAAACCACTCACTGCTGTTGCTCGCCATGCCGGGTGTGCCTGGCCTTGCGCGTGGGGACGGGAGGGGGATTGGGGGGGAGGGGGAAAGAGAGAGGCGGCCAAGGAATCAGCAAGGGAAACGGAGTGGAGAGATCTAGAACTGTTAGACTGATTTAGCACGTAAGGGCCCACATAAGTGAGCCACTGGAAGCAGGAGGCTCGCCCATGGGGCAGCATGCTGCTCCCCTCCTTCCTTGCACATTCCGGAGCCTGGGCTGTTTAAAAGGTCGCGTTGCCAGCCCAACAGGGGCATGCCTCCCCCTGGACTGGAACACCACGCTCAACAACAAGTCATCTGAATGAACCACCACTGGCAGGCACCACTCTCCTCACACCACGCACCCACCCTCCCCCTCCCACCCACCCACCCTCCTGCCAAGAACCCACCTCCCCCCCCCCCCCCCCCCACTCCCTCCTCCACCCACCCGCCAAGCACCTAGGCTCCCCTCCCTCCTACCCACCTCCCCCTCCCTCCTCCCTCCTTCCTCTCACCCTCCTGAACCTGCGTGACGAAGAAGGACGCATAGCCCAGCGGGGGCACCGTCCCTTGGAACACCACGCTCAGCACGTGCCCAGCGCCGCTTTGCGCACCGCTGTTGCTGTCGCCCGCGTGCGCGGAAATGAAGATAGAGCGCAAGCGCAGCGGCACCAGCAGCTCGGGCACCACCTGTGACGGCAGCACGCGGCCGGAGGCGTCCTTCACTAGCACAAAAGGGGAGGATACCTGGGAGGAGGGAGGTGTGGGAGGGAGAGAAGTGTGGTATTGGGGGAGGGTGGAGGAGGGGGGGAAGGAAGAGAGGAATGGGGGTTGGGGGGGGGGGGGGCGGGGGGGGGGGTGTGGTGAGGGACGCGTGCTACAGTGCTCTCCCAGCTCCTGTGGTCGCTAGCATGCGCAGCCATGGAGGCAAAGCACAGGCGCAGCAGCACCAGCAGCTCAGGCACCACCTGCGACGGCAGCACGCGGCCGGAGGCGTCCTTCACTAGCACCAAGGGAGAGGACACCTGGGAGGGGGAAGGCGTGGGAGGGAGAGAGGAGGGAAGTGGGTGGAGGTGAGACGATGAGCGAATGGGGGAAAGTAGGGTCTGATACGGCAGTAGCCTGTGGAATGTGATGGATGAGGTGGAAGGGGTAGCTTACTGGGAAGCGGATCATTTCGGAGCGAGTCCAAGCGAGGGGGTTGTACGCAACCACTACCTGAGCGCAGCAGAGAGGTCCGAAGAGCCGGCACAAGGCACATAATGCACAAGCACTTGTTTCTTGTGTGTGAGTGAAGAAGAGTTTGTGAAAGACAATGCGGACGCTAGGCAGAAGTGGCATGAGCTAGCTCCCTTTCACATGTCTCAAAGTGCCCTCATGTCTCCCTCACTAATTCCCTCGAGTGGCCTTTCATCTCTCGCCAGTCCTCGCACCCATCCCCGTCCCCTCCCACTTGATTACCGGCCCATTCTCCGACCGTCCCGGCCCATATCCCCATTACCTCTAGTCCTCCCGCCTTTCTACCACTTTTCCCCCTTCCCTCTCCCCCCCCCTCTCTTCCTCTCCCTCATCCCTCCCTCTCTCCTTCCCTCTCCCCCCTCCCCACCCCCCTCGCTCCCCCCTTGCGTACCAGAGTGGTGGACGGCGAAAGGGGCAGCTGTGAGGGGGGGCAATAGGACACGTTCAAAAGAGGGCACTGCAGGGAGAGCAGGTGGCGCACAGGAGGGAGATGGAACAAGTGGAAGGGGGGAAGGGGCGAGAAGGGATGAAGGGGCGAGAAGGGATGAAGGGGCGAGAAGGGATGAAGGGGCGAGAAGGGATGAAGGGGCGAGAAGGGATGAAGGGGCGAGAAGGGATGAAGGGGCGAGAAGGGATGAAGGGGCGAGAAGGGATGAAGGGGCGAGAAGGGATGAAGGGGCGAGAAGGGATGAAGGGGCGAGAAGGGATGAAGGGGCGAGAAGGGATGAAGGGGCGAGAAGGGATGAAGGGGCGAGAAGGGATGAAGGGGCGAGAAGGGATGAAGGGGCGAGAAGGGATGAAGGGGCGAGAAGGGATGAAGGGGCGAGAAGGGATGAAGGGGCGAGAAGGGATGAAGGGGCGGAGAAGGGGATGAAGGGGCGAGAAGGGATGAAGGGGCGAGAAGGGATGAAGGGGCGAGAAGGGATGAAGGGGCGAGAAGGGATGAAGGGGCGAGAAGGGATGAAGGGGCGAGAAGGGATGAAGGGGCGAGAAGGGATGAAGGGGCGAGAAGGGATGAAGGGGCGAGAAGGGATGAAGGGGCGAGAAGGGATGAAGGGGCGAGAAGGGATGAAGGGCGAGAAGGGATGAAGGGGGCGAGAAGGGATGAAGGGGCGAGAAGGGATGAAGGGGCGAGAAGGGATGAAGGGGCGAGAAGGGATGAAGGGGCGAGAAGGGATGAAGGGGCGAGAAGGGATGAAGGGGCGAGAAGGGATGAAGGGGCGAGAAGGGATGAAGGGGCGAGAAGGGATGAAGGGGCGAGAAGGGATGAAGGGGCGAGAAGGGATGAAGGGGCGAGAAGGGATGAAGGGGCGAGAAGGGATGAAGGGGCGAGAAGGGATGAAGGGGCGAGAAGGGATGAAGGGGCGAGAAGGGATGAAGGGGCGAGAAGGGATGAAGGGGCGAGAAGGGATGAAGGGGCGAGAAGGGATGAAGGGGCGAGAAGGGATGAAGGGGCGAGAAGGGATGAAGGGGCGAGAAGGGATGAAGGGGCGAGAAGGGATGAAGGGGCGAGAAGGGATGAAGGGGCGAGAAGGGATGAAGGGGCGAGAAGGGATGAAGGGGCGAGAAGGGATGAAGGGGCGAGAAGGGATGAAGGGGCGAGAAGGGATGAAGGGGCGAGAAGGGATGAAGGGGCGAGAAGGGATGAAGGGGCGAGAAGGGATGAAGGGGCGAGAAGGGATGAAGGGGCGAGAAGGGATGAAGGGGCGAGAAGGGATGAAGGGGCGAGAAGGGATGAAGGGGCGAGAAGGGATGAAGGGGCGAGAAGGGATGAAGGGGCGAGAAGGGATGAAGGGGCGAGAAGGGATGAAGGGGCGAGAAGGGATGAAGGGGCGAGAAGGGATGAAGGGGCGAGAAGGGATGAAGGGGCGAGAAGGGATGAAGGGGCGAGAAGGGATGAAGGGGCGAGAAGGGATGAAGGGGCGAGAAGGGATGAAGGGGCGAGAAGGGATGAAGGGGCGAGAAGGGATGAAGGGGCGAGAAGGGATGAAGGGGCGAGAAGGGATGAAGGGGCGAGAAGGGATGAAGGGGCGAGAAGGGATGAAGGGGCGAGAAGGGATGAAGGGGCGAGAAGGGATGAAGGGGCGAGAAGGGATGAAGGGGCGAGAAGGGATGAAGGGGCGAGAAGGGATGAAGGGGCGAGAAGGGATGAAGGGGCGAGAAGGGATGAAGGGGCGAGAAGGGATGAAGGGGCGAGAAGGGATGAAGGGGCGAGAAGGGATGAAGGGGCGAGAAGGGATGAAGGGGCGAGAAGGGATGAAGGGGCGAGAAGGGATGAAGGGGCGAGAAGGGATGAAGGGGCGAGAAGGGGATGAGAATCCGAGAAAAATGGCCAGGGAAGGGAATGAGTACATGGGCGACGGAAGGAAAGGGAAGAGAAGCAAGAGAAGCATGGAGGAAGCATGGTAGCACCATGCCAAGGACAGCTGCCACTGAGGAAGCCGAAGAGGCAGGCAAGGGCAGGAGCGACAGTTGCAACACCACGCAGCCGTGCCATACTAAGGCCTGCCAACCAGCGCAAAGGTGCAGCAGGGGGGAAGACAAAGGCAGAGACGGACAAAAACTCACAAAAGCGGAGGGTACTGTACCAGGGAGAAGTCAAGCCTGGGCATGGGTGCACCCTCCAGCCCTCTGCCATACCGCCTCCTTCCATGGTCCGTGGATCGCCCATCCACCCCATCCTCCTCTCCCTCCCGTACACCCCCCTGCTCCCCCTCTCCTCCCCCCACCATCCCCATCCCCTCATCACTCCCCGGCCCTCCTCCCAGGAGTCGCCTTCCCTGCCGCTCTCGCCTTGCCCTACCCATACCATCGCCCCCCTCTCCCCCTTCAACTCCCCCACCCCCTGCGTCCGTGACCTCCATAGGGGCACGCCTCCACGCCTCCCCTGGCCCTGCTGCCCCACCTGCGCCTTCACCAAACCCCCCCCCTCCCCCTATCCCTCGCGCTGCGGCCCATGCTGCTGCTTCTTCTGCACCTGCTGCATCCTCCCCTGCCTTGAGCCTCTGCGCCGACAGCAGCAGGTCCATTGGTGAGCTGTCAGCGCCACCCTCCGCGTCCAGCACAGGATGCTCTGGGTACAACTGGGGGGGACCATACACAGTCTCGAATCCAGGCTTGGGCACACGGTAGGGAAAAGGCATGGGCACGGGCACATGCAAGGGTGCGGTGTTTGCTGCTGTCTCGCCTGCTGCTGCTGCTGCTGCTGCTGCTTCGGCCACGCCTGGTGCTGATAGTGCTGATGGATTGAAATCAGACGCAAGCTGTTGCTGTTGCTGTTGCTGTTGCTGCTGCTCCTGCAGCAGCTGCAGCTGCTGCTGGTGGAGCTGCTGCTGCTCCTGCTGCTGCTGCTCCTGCTGCTGCTGCTGCTGCTGTTCCTCCTCCTCCCGCTGCTGCTGCTGCTCCTGCTGCAGCTGCTGTTGCTCCTGCTGCTGCTGCTGCTGCTGCCGTTCCTCCTCCTGCTGCTGCTGCTGCTGCTGCTGCTGTTGCTGCTCCTGCTGCTGCTGGTCGGTTGTGGATGAGAGAATGGCGGTGTGCAGGCCATGAGTGATGAGATAAGCGAGGGCAGATGTGAGCACTTGAGAGGCCTGCCAGCCAGAGATGGGGAGAGACACAGCATTAGGAGGACTGAGGAACGTGGGGGGGGGGGGGGGGAGCAGGAACGAGGGGCAGAGGGAGGGGCGTGGGTGCGGGTGGGGGTGTTGCACGCAAGGCAGAAGCTCCTTGGTCAAGCCACATCTACCACTGCATATGTGGGTACCGTATCAACCTCCATTCCCCTCCCATCCTAATCCCTCCACTCCACCACTGCACCGCTGCACCACTTATCTCCTCCCACTCCTACCCCCCTCCTACCCCCACCTCCACGGTGCTAGCATGCAGCCTGCGGAGTAGTCATCCGTGCTGTCCTACTCAGCCATACCACATCTCCCACTATCACACTGCACTCCTCTCTATCCCGCTCCCACTACCCCTTCCTATCTCTGCGTCCTCCAGCCACGCCATCGACGGCACTCTCTCCCTCACTCCCTCACTTCCTTTCTCCCTCACTCCCCTCACCTCCACAGCACCAGCATGCAGCCTCAGTGAGTAGTCATTCGTGACATGCTGCTTGGCCGTGCCGCTAATGGCATCATGGTGCTGCGCGATCGCCACTGCGTCCTCCAGCCTCGCCGTCGACGCCACCCCCTCCACCTCCTTCCTCCACCCCACCTCCGTGCACTCCTCGCCCTCGCACGGCTCGGTTCGCGCTGCTGTCATCCGCCCCTCCTGCACGCCCCACTGGGATAGGGTCTCGCGGCCGACTAGCGCTTCTGCTGCTGTGCTGGCCTGGAGAGGTGGGGAAGGGCGGGGGAGAGGCGGAGAGAAGAGGAGAGGGGGAGAGAAGTGGAGAGGGAGGAGAGAAAAAGAGAGAGCGGGGGGAGGAGGAGGGGGACGAGAGGAGGAGGGAGGGAGAGAAAGGGTGCAGAGGAAGGTCTCGGTGAGCATGGGAACCAGACCAGATCATCCAGCTTCATTGTATATGTTGCTTGTGATGGCGTCATTGCTTGCAGGTGAGAAACAAGAGGTGGACTTTTGGGGAGGGTTTCTATCTAGAGTGATAGCACGGCCTTGAGGATCTGGATCCGATGCTCAACACACGAGGTGGCAGGCGGGCGGGCAGGCAGGCAGGTAGGGAGGCAGGCAGGCAGGCAGGCAGGCAGGGAGGGAGGCAGGCAGGGAGGGAGGCAGGCAGAAGGGTAGCTCCCGAGGGAGGAGCGGCAAACAGAAAGAGGGGTTTAGCAACAATAAGGTACGGAGTCATGGTAAGGCACGAGGGGTGGTGCGGAGAAGCAGGGGAGGGTTTACCAGGAGGAGCGAGCTGCAGGCACGAGCAAAGTACTTGAAGGATGGGCGGCTGGTGAAGTAGCCAGTCCAGTAGGACGTGTCGTAGTCATCGTAGCTGGGCGTGCCGCGTGGGGAGATAGAGGGATGGAGGGAGGGCGGGAAAAAGGGGTGGAGGGAGGGAGAGGGGGAGGTACCGCGTGTTGTTTGTTGAGAGGAGTGTTGAGAGGGAGCCAGGCAGCAGGTTAGGAGACAGGGGATAGGGGAGGAGAGCGAACCGAAGAGTTTTGAGGTGGCTGAGGAAAAGAAGGCGTGGAGGGTGAGGAATGGCATGGGGCTTGGTGGAGGGTGAGGAATGGCATGGGGCTTGGTGGAGGGTGAGGAATGGCATGGGGCTTGGTGGAGGGTGAGGAATGGCATGGGGCTTGGTGGAGGGTGAGGAATGGCATGGGGCTTGGTGGAGGGTGGAGTGGAGGGTGGAAAGTGGAGGTGAGTGCTCCGACAGGAGCGACTGGATAGAGGGGAAGAGTGTTTGGCGGAGTGAGCGCACTGCTCACCTCAGGGAGGTGACGTGAGTGAGTGAGCGAGTGAGCGAGGGATTGAGTGAGTGAGTGAGTGAGTGAGGGAGTGAGTGAGCAAGTAAGCGAGTGAGTGGGTGAGTGTGGTGTTCCTTAAGATTAGCGGCGTGAGGCAGGCAGGGCACACAAGCAAGCAAGCACGCACGCAAGCCAGCAAGCCAGCAAGCAAGGCAGCAAGCCAGGCAGCACGTACGGGAACATGTCGCCGCCCCTGACGGGCCACGTCTCGTTGGCTTGCTGCTTGGCCTCCACGTACATCGATGGCGTGGAGTAGAGGGCGTTCACTCGCCCGTCCTGCCAGGGCAGGCACACGAGAAGCAGCATGGGGGGAGGAAGGGCAGGGGAGAGGATGACTGAGGTGAAAACAGGCACCTAAAACGTTGCCTCGTTGCCTCGTTGGCTTGCTGCTTGGCATCCACATATGTATGTTGGCTCCTGCAGTCGCACACACACGCACACGGGAGAGGCAGCCAGGGAAAGGAAGGGAAGGGGAGACAGGAAAGAGAGAAGTCAGGCCGGAAGGGGGTTAGGGGGGGAGTGACAGGAGGGTGCGAGAGGGGCAGGGAGAGGAATGGAGAACGGGTGGGCGAGGAGGAGTGAGGGGGGGAAAGGAGGTGGCTGCAGCGAGGGAGGGGCGGAAGATTAAGGGAAAGGGGGGAGGAAGAGGCGGAGAGGATGGGTGGGAAGGGCAGGGTGGGAGGTTGGACCTGGTTGGCATGGTGGACGAACACATCCCATGTTGGACATGGTTCATGCTGGCATGGCACGTGAAGCCATCCCATGGCATGTGAAGCCATCCCATGGCACAGCAGCAAGCACACAAGGACGGACGACACAGCAAGTGCATGCACAGCAGCAGGTGACCTGGTTGACGTAGTGGGTGAGCTTGTCCATGTTGGTGAACCATATGAGGGGCCATACCATGCCATGCCATGCCATGCCATGCCATACCATGCCATGCCATGCCATGCCATGCCATGCCATGACACACCAAGCGCACAAGTCGACGCACCGAGCGCACAAGGACACACCTAGTGGTTCTCACTGGCACGCACCTGGTTGACATAGTGGATGAGCTTGTCCATGTTGGCGAACCATGGCAGCGCATCCGTGTGCGAGAAGTCCTCGCCCATGGTCCACATGATGTGCTCCGTGCGGTAGTTGGCGGCCTGCACTTGCATGCATGCACGCACGAGCACATGCACACACAAGCGCATGCACACATGCACAGATCAGCACACGAGCACATGTAGTACACACGAGCACACCCACACGTGTGCACATGCACACATGAGCGAGCAGGTGCCCCTCCCTCTCCCCCCCTCTCACACACACACGCGCGCGCCTGCACACACACACAGATGCATACATGTACATGCGAAGCAGTCAGGGAAGATGGGGAGATGCGCCCGGGAAGACAACACACCTCCCCCTACACTACCCACCCACCCACCCACTCACCAACCCGTCAGGCACACTGCACTGCATCCCTATCCAACCACAGCTATGCCAACTCAACCCATTCAACCCACTAAACCACTCAGCCCCAGCCCTCCATGCAAGCCCCTCATGCAAGCCCCTCATGCAAGCCCCTCATGCAAGCCCCGCAATGACACACCTGAGCGAGAGCCACCTGCACGAATTCGTCCACCCGCTCCTTCACGTTCGTCTCTGGGGACCAGGGGTTATCCTGCCATGCCACACATGCATACACATGCATACGCATGCACATACACATGCATACACATGCATACACATGCATACACATGCATACGCATGCACATACACATGCATACACATGCACATACACATGCATACACATGCATACACATGCATACGCATGCACATACACATGCATACACATGCATACACACACGGCATGGAAGGCACGCATGGCATGGAAAGCAGACATGAACATGCCACACATAAATGATCAGAACACATACACACGCATGCCACACAAGGGATGTGCGACATGCCCAAAACACATGGCATGACAGCCTAGAACACACCGTAAGACGACCCCCCCAAGCGAGATGAAGAGCGGGGATTAGAGGCACAGACGACGCAGGGAGTGTTGAAGGGGAAGGTTCCAGGTGATTCGCCGTAGCATACCATCCCACATTGACTCACTCACAGCCTACCATGCCAGCAAGACTCACCAACTTGACCCACCTTGACTCACCTTGACTCACCTTGACTCGCAGGGACCGGTCCTCTCCAGCCTCGAACTTGAAGCGCTCTGGAGGGTAGTAGGTGAAGCGGTCCAGGATGCTGGTGAACACCTGGTGGCACGAGCAGGGAGAGGGGGGGGGAAGCGTAACGGGGAAGACTTTCGAGGCGCCTCAAAGCTCGCCCTGGATGGATGGAGGGCAGTAGGTGCCCCCGTCTAGGATGCTGGTGAACTCCTGGTGACGCAGGCAGGAGTGGGGACAGGAGGCGGGGAGGTTGATTCAAAGCCAGGTAGTGTGTGGATGGGAGTATAGGTCACTGAGTGAAAGAGAGCCTACCACGATCAGCAGCAACAACAAGCATCAGCAGCAACCACCACCTAGTCAACCACCATCAAGCATGAACTGACTACTTTCTCCCATTCTCGTTCCTCTCTCGCATTCCCATCTCACACGAGCGCGTCTCTTCCAAATCGCAACCAGCCCTCTCGTTCCCCCCCTCGCCCGCCCCTCTCACCTGGGCGTCTTTCCCAAAGGTGCGGGAGGGGCGCCAGAGGAACTCGAGGGTCCTCTCGGCCTGCCGCCTCATGCCCTCCTTCATGTCCACGCGCCCCACAAACACCGCGTCCATGCCCGCCTGCCGCCGACACACGTGCATAGGGAGAGGGGCCAGAGAAGGATGGAAGAGATTAGAAGAACTCGTGTTTCAATATGCTCGTGTTTACGTATGCTGGCTCGCCTCTTGCCCTCCTTGAGGTTCACCCGCCCCACAAACAGTGCGTCCATGCCTGCCTGCTGTGGCCACCCGTGCAAGAGGAGAGGGGTCAGGGTGTTTTGTTGAGTCGACTTTAACCACGATTACTGTCACAGGGATTATACACTTGAGGTCCACGCGCCCCACAAACACCGCGTCCATGCCATGCCCGCCTGCCGTGGCCACGCATGCATCATGGGGAGGGAGATAGGGGTGGAGGAGAGAAGGAGAGGTGGGTTGATGCGCTTGGGAGCATGCCTGACCACACGCCTCACAAACACTGCAGCCATGCCCGACTGCCGCCGTGCCCACGTGCGCATGGGGAGGGAGAACAGGATAATAGAGGAGACCAGGAGAAGTGGTTTGGGTTCGGGATCATGTTTCCATTCGCCTGGAAACATGCCTGATGCGTCTTGATTCCTTTGAGGTTCACGCGCCCCACAAACACCGCGGCCATGCCTGCCAGCCGTGACCACATTTGCACGGGGAGGGGCGGTCGGAGGCGCGCCACAGGAGAAATGGGCTGTGCTGGGGGTTCAGGCAAGTGTGGAGGGTATATGGAGAGGTGTGCATGGCGGTGCAGTAAGAATCAGAGGGTCACACCATACCTACGCAGTCATGAACGGTCCTCACACACCTGCCCCATGACTCTGTCCAGGCCAGGCCCACCTGTGCTGGGCGCCTCGCAACACACTGCACTGAAATGGGGTATCCGTGGGAGCCTACCTGATCCATGACACCGTAAGTGAACCCTGGGACCATACCTGAGCCCTGGGATTGTACCGGAGCCGTGGGACTGTACCTGAGCCCTGAGACCGTACCTGAGCCCTGGGGCTGTACCTGAGCCCTGGTACCATACCTGAGCCCTGGGACCGTACCTGAGCCCTGTATCCGTACCTGAGCCTCGGGACCGTACCTGAGCGGTGATGAGGTAGCCCTGCACGGCGGAGTGGCCAAAGGGGTCGACCTGCCAGGCAATGCGCGGCACGGCGTTGAACTCTTGCTTGAGGAAGCGGTGGCCCAGCGACATCTGCTGCACCATGTCCGTGTAGTGCACCGCCGCCTCGTCGTGCATCACCCACCCGCCGTTGCTGCGGGAGAGGGAGTAGAAAGAAAAGAGAGGCGGCAGGGAGAACGGGAGGCTTGTGAGGGCAAGGAAGACAGGAGGGACGCGGTGGCCAAGCGGCACCTGGTGCACCGTGTCATGTGATGGGTGGGCTGCTGCTGGTTGGACGGACGTGCGTTACCCACCCGCCGTGCTGCCACGTGCGCACAGCACAGGTCAAAGAATGGACGGGAGGATGGGATTAGACATGAGCAATTTAAATCGCATCGCATCGCGTTTAATCGCGTTTTGCGATGGCGATTTTTTTTTTTTTTTTTTTTTTTAAATTCATCGCGTGATGCGATGATTTAATTATCGCGCGATTTAATTTAAATCGCAATTTAATCGCGGCGGGAAATCGCGATTTAATTGCGATTTGCGATTAAAAATAAATCGCGCGCGATGTCGAAATACATCGCAGCGCGAAATCTCGCCAGCACATAGGGAAAAATCGCAAAGCCCCAAAACGCATTTCCCAAAATCTCCTTCGTTTGAGAGTACGTTTTAGGGCTTTGCACATACCTCCGAGTACTCCAACACCCACCGTTCTTCACGGTTTTTTGTGGCTGAAATTTGTAGACGCCGCGTAGTAGATTGCGTTGCGCGCCGCATGGCCTTTTAGTGGAGCCCCGTCACTCGCGCACCCATTTGCCGTGTTGGTGGCGTCGCAAGGGTTTCCACCGTTCGGCAGCCAGATTCTAGCCACGACGCACGACCATTGCCGTTTACAGCATTGCGTATCTTATTTAGCCGCAAGTTGCTGGGTTTATCACGCGACGCGCATAGAATCGGGCGCATTAGGGTTTAGGGTTTAGGTTGAGGAGGCGCTTTAACAACTCGCGATGGGGAAGCAGGGTGGAGCAGGTGCGGGGCGTGGGGGCGGTAGGAGTGGTGGTGGCGCGGGTCGCGGCCGCGAGGATGCACCGGATGCTCAGACTGGAGCGCACGCATTGACGGGCAAGGAAGCGCGCGCGCAGCGCAGGAAGATGACGGAGGCGGCATTCGCGAAGCTGCAGGGGATTAAGGCGGGTTCCTCGCTAGGGGTGGAAGGCGACGGGAACATGGGAGGAGCCCCAAGCAACAACGGGATTGGGACGCAGGGGAGTGGCGCGGCCGACGCTACGGAGCCCGCCCTTGCGGGCAAGGCGGCCGTTAGGGACGAGGCGGATGACGGGGATGCTTGGTGGATCCGAGCATCGGCGGAGGGGGTGCGGACTGCCTATGAGGGGGATGAGGAGGTGGCTGAGGAGGAGGAGAGTGATGACGACGACGTTGTGGCGGAGGAGGAGGGGGATGGGGAGGAGGATGGGGGAGCTGGCGGCGGGGAGAAGGGGAAGCGCAAGGTGGATGACGGGCCTTCTCCCTCGGTCGGGTCTTCGGGGAAGAAGGCACGTAAACCTGCAGAGGGGGATGGGGGGGTGGGGGGGGCTCCCAGGGGCCGTCCCCGGGGCCGACCCAGGGGGCGGAAGGGACTGCTGCGCGAGGATGTCGGCAGGCCTGGCATGTCACCCGGATACCTCCACGAGGCGCGGGGGAGCGGAGGGGGAGGAGGGAGTTTCCGAGGTGCGGCCCGGGCTCCCATGGATGCCGGGAGGGGGGGGGGGGGCGGGCGGGAGGTGGCCGGGGTGAGGGTCATGGGGCTACTGAGCAGGTCATGTGGGCTCCTCCACGGAGGTGGAGAAGGAACCTCGACTGTGTGTGGCGGCTTGTTTTGACATGGAGGAATCGGCACCAGGTTGGAGGAGGTGTAGGATGTGCAACTTCCTAGTGAGCTTCGCGAGCCCCACCACGTCGAATGGGCGATCCCACATGATTGGTTACCACAGGGCTCATTGGGACATCTTGATGCGGCTAAGGCGGGAGGGGGACATGAAGGTCGGGGACCAGCTACCAAAGGGGGGGTTTTGGGACCGTGAGGTCCCCGACGGGGGCAGTACGTGGTGGGGGTCGGCATACTGGCCCAAGTTGGAGGACGCGGAGGAAGACGGGACTTCGGTCGGCCGGGAGGGGGGCCGCGGGATTATGCGCTACATGCAGAAACCCCTCGACTTGCCGCGCTGGGAGCAACTGCTCCTCGAGTACATTGTCGACACCGACTCTGCGTTTTGCACAGTTGAGCGAGACAGTGTGAGTCCCAGCCACCCTCCCCATGGCGTGTTCTTCTGTCAAGTTATCCTGTATGGTACATCCCTACCTCGCCCTCCACTCGTCATGGCCTCACCTCTTTGTTTCATCCTTTCTCGCCTTCCATCAGTTCCGCCGCCTCATGGGTGAGGCCAACCCCCGGCTTGCTCAGCCGGGGGTCATTCCTTCGCGGCACAAGCTCGCCCGTCTCATCATGCGACAGGCGACACAGTGCAAGGAGTTGGCCAAGGCCGAGTTGGCGGCTAACAAGGGGGTGGGTGCGATCTCCTACACGACGGACATTTGGTCAGCGGAGAATGACATCGGTTTCATGGGCATCACTGCGCATTACATTGATGCACAGTGGAATCTGAAGCAGGCGACGTTGGACTTCAGGCCTCTTCCTGCCGGCCACACAGCGAGGATGGTCGCCAACATCCTGGAGGAGGTGATCGAGGACTGGGGGCTTGCCGGGCGGTGTATGGCGCTCACGACCGACAACGCGTCTGTGAACGGGGCGGCATTCGATCTTCTCAAGGCAGGGGATCAAGGAGATGGGAAGACGCGCGCGACCCCCTTGTTCGGCAAGGCTGCCCACGTCCGGTATGACATCCTACATTTTCTCGCTGCCTATGGGTGGGGTGCCGGAGGTGCCGGAGGTGGAAGCTGCGCAACCTCGCGTCGCGCATTGGCTTCTCAGTGACCAAGACGGCGGCCTTCGAGAAGGAGCAGCGTCACCAGTTCCCTGGGAAGCAACCCTTGAAGTTGAAACAGGACAATCCGGTGCGCTGGGGCTCCACCCACGCCATGCTGAAGCGAGCGATCGAGCTCAAAGGCCCAATCAGGGCCTTTGTGGCTAGGGAGGTATGTCATGTAACTTGGTTACCACCAACCCTCTGCCGCATACTTACCTCCATCGCCCGGCCGTGTCCCCCCCGCCACACTCCAAGCCCCTGCCAGAACGATTGCCCCCCGTCCCCCCTCCGTTCCCGGCTCCCCTCTCCTCCCCCTCCCCCACACCCTTGTTTGCTCAACTCCAGGGGTGTAACAAGAAGGAGCAGGCAGACCTGGACAAGAGGGTCGTTACAGACGATGAGTGGGCGATACTGCAGGAGTTGATGGCGTTTCTGGCGCCTTTCAACAACGTGACTTCGGCGGCGGAGGGGTCGGTGTACCCAATTGTGGCGCGTGTGGTGCCACAATACAATGGGGTACTGGACTGGCTGGAGCGCAAGCTGGCAGCGGCGAAGCCGGGGTCGGTGATGGCACGGTGCGTGTCCCAGGCGTTGGAGAAAATGCTCACTTATTTTTACTCCAGCACCGATGACCTCAACGTTGCTACATTCTTGGACCCGGCACTGAAGCGAGTGTGGTTTGAGCGGCCTATGGTGGAAGGCAGCACCAGGGTGGTGGAGGAGTTGGATGCCGACGAGGTGGAGCAGTTGGTGCGCGATAGGTGGGAGACATACAAGAGAAAGGTGGATGAGGAGGTGGCTGAGAAGAGGGGGGCAGCAGCAGCGGTAGAGGGGGGCAGCAGCGGGATGGGAGTGGATGTGAGGGAGTCCGAGGATGAGGAGGATGAGGACATGGGTGTGTTTACTCACCTCGCAACAGTGCGGGCCGCACAGATCTCATCGCTGCAGGAGGAGATCCAACAGTACCTGTCACTCCCCTTGGCGGAACTGCACGACTGCCCCTTGCACTTCTGGAAAGTCCACCAGGAGCTTCCAGCGCTGCAGCGCATGGCTCGGGATTACCTCGCCATCCCGGCCACCTCTGCCCCCTGCGAGCGCCTGTTCTCACAGGGCCGCAACCTCATCCACTGGCAGCGCTACCGTTTGGGTGCGGAGCGAATCCGTGCTTGCATGATGTTGAAGTCATGGATTGCCTCTCACCCTGGACAGCGGCTTGATGGCGCGGTAGCAGCCGAAGATGACGAGACGGCCTTTGAGGCGTGCGATCTGGGCCTTGAGATAGGTCCAGGGCTTTGAGGGCTAGCGTGCTGCTGGGGGGTCCGGGAACTGATAAGACATTACCTTATTTATATTGACAACGTGCTAGACCGATGACTATGCTTCATGCTTGCTTCCTCCCCTCCCCTCCCTCCCCTCCCCCTCCCCCTTTACATCCCCATCTCTCCTTTCCCGCAACCTCATACTCCCCACACCATCCATCCAGCTGGCGCTGCCCTCCCCCCTTCCCCACCCTTACTCTATTTAAGCTACGAAAGTCGGGCCCTTACCACGGGGCTCGCATTTGTGTGAAACCCATTTTGAACGGTATTTTCAATCGTCTATGCCTGCACGCCATCCCGTGTTCCACTCTCCAGTAGCCTTTTTTTTCCCCCAATGTTTGCAGACTTGTTTTAAAAACCTCCAGAAATGCGATTTGATTTAATATCGCATCGCGCGATTTAATAAATCATCGCTTGCGATTTTAAAATACATAGCGGGTAAATCGCGATGTGCGATGATTTATTTTCGAATTTTTAAATCGCGCGATGCGATTTTGAATCGCATCGCTTTTTAAATCATCGCACCTGCATGCGATGCGATTTAAATCGCAATCGCATTTTGCCCATGTCTAGATGGGATGGGCGGGGTGGAAGGGACAGGTGGGTGGGAAGGAAGACCGTACGCCGCTGAGCAATGGTGTGAGGCGGATAAGAACATGGCAGGTGCGTCAGGGAGGAGAGCAGCAAGAGCAGCAAGAGCAGCAGGAGCGGCAGGTGCAGCTAGGCGGGAAAGCTCGGGCGAGGGGCATGGAGCAGGGACGGAGGGGGTGGGAAGGGGAGGAGGCAGGCGATGGGGGTGGGATGTGGGAGGGACTCAGGTGAAGGAAGGGAGGGAGGAGAACGAGGGTTGGGGAAAGTGGGGGAGGGAGATGGGGAGATGGGGGTTGAAGTGAACACCACTTGGGTGCCATAGGTCTTTACGAGGCAGCAACTTTGAAAACGCTTAAAAAAGAAAAAAAGAGCTTGCTAGAAAAAACTGTTGTGAAAAATTTGATGGTAACCAGTTTCGGCTCGAGAGCCTTCTTCGAGAGCCTTCTTCCGGTGAAGGAAGGGAGGGAGGAGAACGAGGGTTGGGGAAAGTGGGGGAGGGAGATGGGGAGATGGGGGTTGGGGGTTGGGAAAGTGGGGAGGGCAGGGGAGAGAAGGGGAGATGGCGGTTGGGGGTTGGGGGAAGTGGGGAGGGCAGGGGAGGGAAGGGAGATGGGGATTGGGGGTTGGGGTGGGGGAAGTGGGGAGGGCAGGGGAGGGCAGGGGAGGGACGGACGTGAATTGGAGCTGTCCGTGGGCGACGAGGGTCTTGACTCGAGCGCGCATGGCGTCGGACTGCTGCTGCCACCAGCGGTAGAAGAAACCCTGGGGGGAGGAGGGGGGGGAGGGGGAAGGGGCGGAGGCACTCTCTAGCGCGTGGGTAGCTTTTTAGGGTCAATGCTGATGTGTGTGTGTGTGTGCCGCTGGTCGCAATGCGAGAAGGTTGGGTGGTGCTGAATGTAACTGCTTTTCGAATGTGCATGAGAGCGAGCGCGTGCGCGTGCACGCGTGTGTGCGTGTGTGCGCGAGCGTGAGCGTGAGCGTGTGCGCGTGTGCGCGTGCGTGTGCGTGCGCATGCGTGCACGCGCATCAACCCATGTGCGGGTGCGACGATCCACGCATGCATGTGTGCGTGCGCATGCGTGCACGCGCATCAACCCATGTGCGGGTGCGACGATCCACGCATGCATGTGTGCGTGCGCATGCGTGCACGCGCATCAACCCATGTGCGGGTGCCCCCCCCGTTCCCCCACCCCCCCCGCGCGCACCTGCTCCACCTGGATGTATTTCCTGTCCGGGTTCACTTCCAGGTTCGCGATCACCGAGTCGATGGTGTACGCCACCCTCTCCGCCTGGGACAGCCAGCGAGAGAAACAGCGCCACAGTGTGTGGGGGAGGGGGGGGGGGATGGCAAGTGGGGACGGGTAGTACTGAGAAGCGGGCTGACTCGAATCACGAACGGGTTCGCCGCCACCAAACGATCCAGAGACTATTCAGATTATGCCTTCTCCCCCTGTCATGGCAGTCAGGGGAACTGCCGCTCCCGACGGGAGCGGGAACGGGACTCCAGGAGCAGGAGCGGGAAGCCGGGGGCGGGGAGCCGGGAGCGGGGAGCCGGGAGCGCATGCGGGGGTGGGAGCGGGAGTGGGGCATAAGACGTGCAACATCTCGAGCTGCGTCGGTGCGGTGAAAACGCATTGGGCCGGCGGCCGTCGCATCACGGAACGCGCAGGGACGCTCGCCGGGAGAGCAAGCAAGCAAGCGGAGTCGAGTGGGGGATGCCGTAGCACGCGCAAAACATCCGCCTTTGAGAGAGAGAGCCGCTACTAGTACAAGCTTCGAGCCTGCCGCGAAGGCTCTTACTAAGAGGAAACCTTCCCGCAAAGGGCCTGAGGATTCGAGCTTTGAGAGGCTCAAAGCTCAAAGCGGCAGAATAAAACAGCGGCTGGAGAGACTTTGTCGTCGCCTCGCCACACTCGGACGACCCGTTTTAAGCTCTGGCGAGCCTGCTACGCCTGTCGATGAGTCTTAGTCCTAGCCGCAGAGAGTCGCGACTCGCAACGTTGCGTCCAACTGGCCTCCGAACTAAGTTGGTTTTGTTTTCGGACCTTTAAAAGGGTAATTATGTCACATCCACAGAGCCTGCTGCGGCAGCGGCGTACGTAGGAGCCACCTGATGGTGTAGGGTGTATTAGAAAACTCTCACGGTCGACTAGTAGAGCACGAGCGGTGAGAGTCGTACATAGTACTGATCGACGGTCAGGAGCCACCCGATGTCGTCGTGCGAGTGCGCCACCATGTGCACGTTAAGCTTGCCCTCCACCACCCCCGCGCTCGTGTTGTACCCCGCGCGACGCGGCGCCATCATTCCTTGCAACACGGCACCGCCGCCATTCCACCCCCCAGGTTCCTGGTCTTTATGACCGCCTTTTCCCGCCACCGCGTCATGATTGTAAGTATTGTCGCGGCCGGCGCCGGCGCTGCTGTCATAATTGCGGAAGAGTGACGGCGCCGCGGCACCGTCGATGCCAGCGTTGGCGACGGTGTTCGCGAGGTGCTGGTGGACGAATAGGAGAGCGATACCTGTCAGAATGCCGAGGGCGAACGTGGGGGCGTGAATTGTCACGCGAGCCTGCCACTGCGCGGCGGACGACCCAGCAGTCATGGCAGTTGCTTAATTTTATTACAGCTTCTAGTGAGTAGTTAAAATTAGAAAAACGTCGCGCCGCACGCGAACTAGCCCTGTCACTAGTGTGAACTATTAGCGCTCTGAAAGGCCATCTTTGTCCCGGACTCGGTAAAACGAGCTGGAGCTGGTGCTTTACACAGAGGCTAGCTGTTGTTCAAAGATAACGACGTGAGGTAATGTGCTACTGGTTTAGATAGTATGGTCCTGTTGCTCAAGCTGCGACGGTAGTTCGGGTGAGAGTCCAGAGTCCAGACCAGGGCTTACCTTAGGGTTTTCGTCCACACGGCAGATCTGGGTCTCTCTCTCTCGGGTCCCGGATAACGGGTTTATCTGGAACGTTACCCGTCAATGCTCGGGTTCATTCCCGGAATTTTTTCCGTGATGACAAACGTTCTTACGAAAAGTTTCTGGATTCTAGAAAGGGTAACCACGAAAGAGTACTGCGCTCAGCTCCTATACTTCTTCAACTTCCTTGCTAGGGCTGATGTGCCCTGGGGGGAGGGAATGGTCGGGGGATCTGTGGGGTAGTGTGAGAAGTTTTAGTATCCGTGATTCTCAAAACTGAACACGTCACTTCACGTGTTCTGGTCAAAATGTACCCGTCAGATCAGGGTTCATGAAAATCGAGCACGTCGCAATCCGATTTTGGTCGAAAACTCACCCGTTATTTGGTCAAAATCTAGATAATTACCCGTAAAACAATAAGCCCTGCTCCAGACTCTGGACCAGGTACAACACAGCATGTCAATAGTTCAATGCGTAGTGGATCCTAATTTCTTAGCAGATGTATCCAGGGTTTGGTACGTTGCAACAATCTGCGGTATGGTCTAATACGGTGGAGGTTGGATTTGAGCAGAGCAGATGCACCGCCCTCTAATATTCACGTGTAGGTTTGGAAAGCACGAACCGAACCCGAGGAATTCTTGGGGAAGGGGCGACGCGAAGTGAGCCAACCGAGTCACCACCACCACCACCGCGAAGGTCGACTGTAAAATGTCTTGGGGAGACCAAGGAGGGGGAGGTGAACGAGTTGTCGACAATTTTATTGGCTTGCTCTGGAAATGTTTATCGACGGGCTGTCAGCGCTGACGCAGGGCTGGGCCTGGGCTACCCTCTGTACGTGGATGAGGGAAAATTCTGGAGCGAGTGAGAGTCCCTCGGCTTTTGCTATAACATCCGAGGCTGGAAAAAAAATGCCTAGGGCTTGCGAGGAAATGACGGCTCCAGCCTGTCAGCTGACAAACCGAACAACAAAGCTGGAGTGATCGCCCGCCCTGGCAAAGTTCTGGTTTGGCTCGCAAAGTTCGATTTGTATAGTCGCATCGCAACCCTCCTTTTGCGACAGGTCCCACTGTGCAGCCGCTGCACTGTCAAGCATCTAAAACCTGCAGTTAGGTTCTGAAAAACCGCGTCACTTTCGATCGGGGGTCTGCCTCGGGTCTGACACTCGCTCCAGAATCATCCCTAGTGATTTCCCGCACTGTCCAGTACCCTAGGGGATTTTCCGAGGAAATCGCGCGCTTCGACGAAAATCAAGTTTGTTTTAAAACGGTCGACCCTTTTTGCGCGTGAGGCATTGCATTCCCCCGTTACCCAAAACAGTCAACCCCCCCCCCCCCCCCCCCCCCCCAACTGTATCCGTTTTCGTTTTTATATCAGAGACCTCTATGATTTTTCGAGGCTACTGGTATGGGCAGCATGTGACGGGTCTGGTTCGGAAGCATACGACAAAAGATGACGGCGCACTAGGGATGGCGGCATTCAGGAAGGCACTAGCCGTAATCATTAGTGACGTCGTTTTCCGATATATCAAGGCGGTACACTTCAGCATTCCATGAATACAGGTCTTACGAATCTCACAAGACCAGCACACCAGCAATGTGTGGTTTCACATTTTCCCGCCAGTCAAAGCCAAATCTGTCAAGCACCACTCTCGGTACCTGCGAGGTCTCGCAAGATTTTCGCGCGCCTTCATCACTGTGCACCACGCGCGTGTAGCGTTCAACCGCATTACACATGTTCTACATCGTGACCCCTCTGGCTCTTACGCTTCCACCATAACCGTACTGCTCTATGATGCCGCATACTCACAATGCACACTTGATACGCTTACCGTCACCTCCAAACTACGCTCACCACTTGATTGCCTCTACGGCTACAATGAGGCCGCCATGGATCTGTCGAGCGCGCGCGTCCGACCTGCATGCACAGGCTATGCAACGAATGCACCGCGCGCCAGAGTTCAACCCACGCATAGAGTATCCGGACGATAGTGCACCGCTGAGGCTTAGCGGGCTCTACACGTCGCGTGACAAGTGCCTACAGGTCGTCCTAGCCTTCGCTCTCGAGCATCGGTTTGGGATTCGCGTGTTGCTAGTGAAGGCGACGCATGCGGTCATCGGGTGCAAGGCCATTTCCGACGGTTTCCTCCCTGCTTGCTTGTAGGGGTGCTCGTATGCTCGGGTGAAGCATGGCGATTTTTGGCGGATCACCACCCTGGTCCCGCCAGAAAACCACATTTGCCCCGTTGGCGCCATGCACAACGACGCTATCGGCATCGCCAACAAGTTGCCGATATTGCTCCGCCTCTATGGGAACATGGTGCGGGCCGACCTGTTCGTTGCGCCCATTGAACTCATGAAGCTGATGGAGGGGCTTGGGAAGATGGAGATCAACTACTTGCAGGCTTGGCAGCTCCGAGAGGTCATCATGATGGAGCGCTACGGAGCTTGGCCGCAGTCGTTCCGGCAAATCCCTTTGATGGTCTCACGGCTCAAGGTCATCGACCATGACATTCACATTTGGCTTGAGCTTAAAGGAGGGTGTTCCTTCCGCCTGTTCATCCGCCCCAGCGCTTCTAGGCACGTTTTGAAGTAGTGCCGGCCGATAAGAGCTCTTGACGGCACCCATCTGATCAGGCCGCAGAAGGCAGTGCTGCTCATTGCTGTCGTGCTTGATGGCAACCAGCAAATAGTCTTGCTGGCTTGGGCACTTGTGGAGTCCAAGAACAAGGACTCTTTGATATGGTTCCTGCAGAAACTCCTGGAGTCGCTCCCGGAATGGCCAGAACGTGACGACGCATCCATCATCGGCAACAGGTACAAGGGTCTTGGTACCCGACGCTCGAGAGATCCTGCCAGGTCACATCCCCCACTACTTTTGTGCCTAGCACTTGGAGCAGAATCTGAGGCGGTTTGGGAAGGGGGCAAGGGCTTTTTTCTGGCGCCTGGTGAAGTGCCGCAGCGAGATCAAATGGAACGCACTTGTCCAAGCATGCAGAAGGGACTTTCCGGAGATGGCAAACTACCTCTTCAGGACCGATGACCCCACTCCCCAGCACCCCCCCCCCCCCTTAACGCCCGCTGACCGGCCCCCCACCAAGGGCGCATAAGACCACAGCAGGGGCCCACGCATATCTGTTCCAGACGTCACGACACGTGCGGTGGGGAGTCGGTGGGGCCGCTGGTGCACCGGGGCAGGGAGAGCTAGGCAGGGAGAATGGGGGTTCCTTCCTGGGAGTGCGGAGTGCCGATGGAGCAGAAGACAGGCGGGGTGTAGGACAGGGATATCGTGCGAACTCGGAACCATGGAGAGGGTACAGGGACATTGGTGGAGGGGTGGCAGGCAGAGGCGGCATCAACCAGCCGGCCCCCGGCGGCGCATACATGGGTGACTACAGAAGGCACCGGACCGGGTTTGCCTCCCCCCCCAGGCAAAGGCTAGGAGAGAACGGAGGAGGGGGGACCAGCCGCAGTAGGGGGGACGCGAACGGTGGCAACGGGGGCACACTGGAGCCTGGTGGAGATGTTACTTACGGCACCGGTGCCCGGTCACGGTCACGCAACATGAACGCGTGTCTCGCGGGAGGGGTTCAAGGGGCAGAGAACGACAACGGGGCGGTGCCTCGACCGCCTGGGGAAGGAGGCAGTGGGAACAATCCACATGACGTGCATGTGGGGGCGGCCGGCAGAGACGAGGGCATGGAACGAGCCACTCGCACCCCTTGTAGAGCAACAGCCCACACGAGTCATACTACCAGAGGATTAGGGGTAGCGGCACCGCGTGCCCACAGGGCGGTGGGATAGAAATGGACTAGGACAGTGCCGCAAACGAGAGGAGGGGGGGGTATGGAGTGGGTGATGCCCCGCCGTGGACTGGGGGCATTGGAAGCGTGGCTGCTGGGGGAGCATGCATGTGGGGTATGGGAGCGGGCCTCAGTCTTGGAGAGGCAAACAGAACACTGCCGACATACCGAACCCACAAACTTTTTGGGGAAAATCGGCCAGAGGCAGAGGTCGAGGAAGGTTTCGGCCAAAGAGGCCTTGCGGCGGAAACGCCATAGAGTCGGTCGGTCGATGGTGGACGTGGCACTGGGCTACGACGGCCGCCCATCAGTGGATCCACGTTCGGAGCCCCACGCCATGTCGGCCTAGGGGGGCGGCTGAGGGGGGCCGGGCTCTCAAGTGATTGTGACGGGCCACGCTTGGGAGGACGACATGCCCGATGGTGGGTAGGCATGGGTGGTGGGCTGGGCCTCAGTGGGAATGGTCTTCAAATCCCCGCACCTGCAGCTGCACCGTTTGGCGACGGTCTCAGCCAGCCAGGAGTCAACTCAGGGCCTTCTAGGGGAGACGTTGGGAGCGGGTTGGGATGCCTGGGTCGAGGGAGAGAGGAGCCCACTAGCCAGGGGGTGGACGAACCCAGGACCGCAGCAGACGCAAGCGGCGATGAACAACCAGGGCCCTGCAAGCATGCCTCGCGCAGTGAAACAGAAGGCGCTGAACATCGATGGCAGGACTGGGATGGCACTGGGCTAAGGCTGGGAGGGGCCGAAGAGTGTGCACATGGTGTGACGGCATTTAGGGATATTGGATTTGGCCAGGATGTGAGGAAGTTACGCCAGGCAGTCGGTCGAGGAGGCCAGGCCGCGGCACCACCACACCGGCTCACCACCACGCAGCCGGACCTCACCTGGGCCATGCCATTAGCGCCGTCTGCTCCGCCAGTCGGTGGCTGGCCGCCACCCTTCAACTTGTCTAGCTTGCTGCAGAGAATGAGGGAGAATAACAGCGCCGCCAACATTGACATGGGAGTCAACGACGTGCCAGAACCGGCCCCTCCCGCAGATGGGGTGAGTGGGGAGCGGACGGGGGTGGTCGGCGCATCTCTCAGGGATGTGCTGGCATTGCCATGGCCAGACACGACTGGCTTCACAAACGGGGAGGACGA